CCTTCAGATTTAATAACTATTGTTTATTATTGATGGATCATTTAATGTTTTTGATCTGTAATATATAAATAACAGTAATTTTGAAGTTAAATATCTTTTACTATTACTTGGGATTAATGGCAATGCATTGTTGCTATTTCTCTATTTTAGTGGCGTTCCTGTAGTTTTACATGTCATATAGAGAGACAGAATTAGGCTGAGATCCCTCCTCCCATCCTTTCATATGTTTTGCATTTTCAAATTTCATGTATGCAAGTTTTTTGTTTTTTTTTAGTGAACTCCATATATGGTTTAAAATTATGTGTTCAGTAGTTATGTGTTTAAACATGTAAATTTTTACAGAGAAACATTATCACATATAAATAGTTAGATTAGTTCTTTTGATTGATTTTACATTTTTAACACAAGATATGAACCAGCAACTGAACCACACTCGTTCACAACGTGTACGAGCTGCAATGTTTCCAGAAACCCTGGAAGAAGGCATTGAAATACCATCAACCCAGTTTGACCCTAGCCAACCAACTGCTGTTCAGCGTTTATCAGAGCCTTCGCAAATGTTAAAGCATGCCGTAGTTAATCTGATCAACTATCAGGTAAGGTTTTAATAATTGTTTTAAACTTAACTGAATAAAACTGCAGTTATTGTATTAATGTACCAAATATATATATGTATATAACTGCATGTGATCTGAAATTTGAGATGCATAATGTCAGCCATTAACAGTATATAAGTCTGTGCTAATAGGTTTAATATTCAAAACATATAGGTAAATCATTAGAAAATAGGATACCTTTGCTATGAAACACATTGTTTATTATAGGCTGAATTTATCATGGATGATTATTCACCATTAAAGAGTGTGTGTAAAAATCAATGCAACACAGGAAAATAGTATAATGTGTCAGGCTTCGATTGACCAACCAGCCTCTATTTTGCCTCTTTACTTGCATGAATGTTACCATTAAATATCTTTTAAAACAGTTCTTCAAATTAAAATATTACAAAGTCACTCGTCCTTTGTTGTTGATGTGATACCAGGACCAGTGAACATCTTTCAGGTATTGTTTTCACATTTAGTGCAAATATGACATTCATGAAGCCTTATCTTGATTTGTAGTTGATTATAAGTTTATTTAGATAACCTACATTTTATGTCATATGACTGTTAATATTTTTCCAGTGGCTCCACATTCACATTAAATCAAAAATTGTTTTTTCTATCACACACACACACACACACACACACACACACACACACACATATATATATATATATATGGTTAGATTTTGGCTATAATAACGTGTCAGATGATAAAAACAAGACTTGTTTCACCTCTGATACTAGTTTAGAACCTTCTATTTTCAACATTCCTTTTGAAT